TGCCTTAATAACATGTTATAATCCACAGAAAGGTAAACATCATGAAAATGTATTGCTTATAAAGTGTTTATTGACAGGAATGTATTTCAATTTGCTATGTGACTTTAAGTGCTGTAAACAAGTTGGTTTCTAAAACTATTATGTTTTGTGAATGCCTAGACTCTTTCATATCATAGATGGTTTCAGTGTACCAAGGTTCAAACCCTGTATTGCATCAGTAGAAATTGAAGAGATTAATATTTTTGTTTACAAACCAGCATTGCAGTCGCGCATGAAGTACACTATTCTTCCGAGTTAATCAAGTACAAACATCGAGACAGCAGTCATGACATCATTAAATTGGCTCCATTGGTTAACTGTTATTATTTTTTTGTAGGTCTGAGAGTTTCCATTCGGTGTTCCATATGCTGAGATCCAAATGCTGCCCATACTTTTACATATGTGGATGTCAGTTTACTGTGTTATTCAGAGCTGCTGGTGTTGGTGGAAACCCCCAAATATCTGCCCTTATATCACCCACAACAAGAGGACTGCGAGAAGCTCTCAAAAGTGAAGGTATATAGCTCAGACAGCAAAAGGGTACCAAGTTTTTCAGCAAAGGGGTACCAAGTTTACAAATAGTTTCTTGGTGATTTACCTAGTTAGTAGCTGAAATTCTAACTGTCCCAAGTTTTTTTCTGACAGGAATAGACTTCAAGATGCCTTTGTCAACAGGCAGTGGACAGAGTCCCATTCATAATGATGAGAATAGAGAGAACAGAAATTCAGTGTCAAATCAAGATATGAATGGATCTATCACGGTAAATCATGCAGATGAAGTTGACAGGTATGTACTAGTGTGTAGCCTTGACATTTTTTATGACATTTTCATAATTCCAGCCTTGTGCACTTGTGTGCTTGTGTATTTCTGTTCTTATATTAGCTAATTAGTGTTTTGCAGACTTAGTATGTGGGTGCATTTTGGGGGATTAGGCTTTTTAGTCAAAATATTAATATAATTATTAATACGCTATGGTTTTGATTTGTGTTGTTTTTCACAAAACTTGCATAAAAATGCTAAAAACCATGAAAATGGCAATGTTGTATCCTAAGGGGTAGATATCTTGTCTGAAAATATCATTCGGTGACATATAATAAAAACAAGCCGGTAGGCTGGTTGGCGATCCGCTCCGCTCAAAAACAAGCACCATGTTTTTGGCTGTTTCCATGGTGTGACATAAACGTGAAGCTAACGTCGGTTTATAACTAATACGAAGTTCGCAAACACCATTCAGTCTTTAGAAGTTACTTAGTTTATTACTAGGACCACAGTCACTCTCCTAGTAGAGTGACTGTGCTAGGACGTATTCTGCTGTTACATTTATTATTTCCAACCGTTTTGCGATAGCATTTTCTAGAATGAAGCGTTTCCTGTAAATGCTGGAAAGCGAAATAATGAAATAACGAGATGGTAAATATTTACCTAAAGTACAGTGTGTTGACCTTCATAATAATATATTTCATAATGCAAAACATTAGTCACGGTGAGTTATTTAAATATACGACTCCTAATCGAAAAATATGACCACAGTCCAGAATTTCAGACGGATATTAAGAAACCTAAGAGCATATCAAAAGCATTTACTCTAAAATATAAAAAAGAACTGCAGTCAAAAGTCAAGAATGCCAGCAAATAAAGGACTCTGCCCCACAATCCTTTGTGCGCGTTATTACGGACACGCGCAAAAAACTGTACCACGCTTGTCAAATCTGGGTCAAATATACAGTACGCTACTATCTTGCCACAGATTGTTTAGTAGTGGAGTGTTCGGTGACCATTGAATTAGCCCATGATTCATATTTTATGTGTATTAATTTATTCATCAATTGTCGTGACTGACAGTACTGCCCAAATTTTAGTCAAAAAAACGCGACTGGTGAAACGGAAGAGCATCGCCAGGCGATGGACGCAGGGCTCTTTGGCAACGACCACATATAGGTCAAAATACGCGTTCTATTTTTACGCGTTAAATTTGGCTCTTCCGTTTCGCCCCCTCCGAAATGTTCAACTTTCGCAGCCTAATCGCAGTTTTTCGAAAAACGTCAAAAAAAC